CCCTATTGCTAACATTGTTCTTATAATTTTTAAAAGCCGAGTCGGATTTGATTTATGTTGACTGTGGAATACTGATTTGTCAAAAATTTTTATATTCTCAATTATGAAATTAAGCATACATTGAGTATCTGCATTATCAAAATCTGGATTTATGTGATGTTTGGAGGCAAAGGTCTTGGTGACAGTGGAAGGAATTATATGTTCATTCTCAATAAGGAATTTGTTAAGTGCTTTTTCAACCAAATTAAAAATAGGTTCAATAAAGGCCCCTTGAAAGAAAAAGTATCCTTTACTGGTGGGGAGATGATTCTTGGTTGTTGTAATTATACATGAAGTTGAAACTATTTCGACCATTTGCAGATCTGGTCAAAATAGGGTCAAAATAAGGTCAAAACTGATTTTTACTATGTAGTTTCCTCAAGTCAAAACATTTTGACTTGGGGTTTTAATTTCGACTTCATGTATAGTTTTGTAATGATTGAACACTTTTTATCCAAAAAAAGTGGAAGAATAAACCCGTTTTTTGAATACTGCATATGGCCTTGGGATTTTTTTCCTCAAGCCAATCAAATATTTTAGTGTGTATTTCAGACTGTTCACAAAAGACTTTGTCGTTATGTAAAATATTGCAAAGTGCTTTGGATATAACCTCACAAGAGACCTTTAATGGACATGCGTTATGTAATACATCAATAGTAGCTTTGAGTGTATTAATATATTTCTTTTTGTGAAATGCCATGTGGCTTTTGGCATAATCAATTGATCAATATTAATATTAATATTAATATATGTCATATGACTGCTAATACTAAGCTTGCTTGTTATTATTATAATTAGTATCAATATTAGTGTTATTATCATCATCACCGATTTCTGCATCAGAGGGGTTTTTTTTAAATCTAAAAATCCAAAATAGTTTCGGATTCGATTAACAGCTATATATAGCCTACTAATATAAGAGCATCAGATAACTGCAATTGTTGTCATTCTTTTCCACCTTTAATGAAGATGGATTCGAATTACACATTCATTTTTCAACAGGTTGTTTAGCAATCTAGGTTGATCAACAACATCCAATGTAGCAAGCAAACATTTATACCCATACAGATCAATTAAACCTATTCACGCAGAAAATACAAAGTCGTGACCATTTCTCCTTAAGATTAAGCCAAAAATTGTTAAACAAGGTCTCTTATCCACCGGGAGAACTGAGCTGGTAATTAAAACTTAAAGTAAATATATTTATTTGAAGCAAAATGACCTCTCTTTGATAATTTGCAATTGTATACAAATTCATTCTCTCTATAATATACATGTCCGTTATAGAGAGAGTCAACGGTAATAATATGAGACATATAATTGGGCTTAAATTCTCAGTCCGAGATCCATTATTGAGGAGAAAGAAAAGAAATTGACAAGCACTAAAAAACAAAATTGTAAAGTAAATTCAACTGTTAAAAGAACTTTGCAAAACATGTTTGAATTCATATTCATTATTCATAACGTTAAACTATTATTTTGATTTTTTTTTACAAAGTCACATTTAATTTATTTTTAAAAATAATAACAATAAAAATATAAAACATAAAATCAAAAGCAAAGGTAATAATAATGATAAAATTAATATCCTAGTTCTTCTTAACTGTCAGCTTGTAATTCATTATTTTCAGCAATCGCCCAACTAATTACAGGTGAAACAATAATTTCTACATCACCATCATTATTGTTAACACTTTCTTGTTTGTGGCCTATAAAACCCGTAACAAGTTGCAGCTTTAAATCCATGCTGACTTCATCAAAACTACCGATAAAGGGTACACTAACTCGACCATAAGGTAAATCACCTAATTCCGCAATTCCTCCTAAAGGATGACCATCACAAGTATAAGGAAAGAACATGGTAATCCAACCACTTAAAGTAGGCTCATCAGAGCCATAAGATTGGTAAGACAAAACTCTACTCCAAAAATCTTCATGTATTTCACCTTTATAAGTCGAAACAAATTCCCCAACAATTGGATCTAATTTATTTAACCAAAAATCTAAATCCAAATTTAATTTACTTAATTGAACTAATTTTTCTTGAATTTTCATCCAATCTTCTAAAGTACCAGTCAAAGTGATCTTTGGAATGCCACAACAAGTTGACATTCTATAATCAAAATAGGACTTGACAGTATCTAATAATATGATATTACTAGCAGTTTTTGTAGTAGGAGTTGTAGTTGTAAAATTACATTCTAATAATCTTTTTATTCCAACTTCATCTTTAACTTGACTATCAGTTGCATCAGTTAACCGTTGAACCGCTTGGTCCCAATTTCCTCCAATATATTCACCACTAAAATCCAAAAGGCCATCAACATAAACATTAATTTCTTTTTTGCCTTCATGCTCAACAACACATAACGATATTTTTCTGAATTAAAATTAATATGCTGACTGACTCCCAAGGCAATAGCTAGCCAAATATCATCAGGTGAAAGTTTTAAATGTTGATGATAACTATAAGCTTGAAAAAAAAGCAGAAATAAATCCATTTGTAGTTGGGGCTCTTTCAATAACTCGAGAGTTGATAGAGTTTGGTTCTGAAATTGCATGAATCTTATTTGATCTTAAAATTCTTTTGTATGCACTGTCAATATTAACATGACCTTTGATTTTGGTTCCGAATTGAAGTTTTTCAGAAAGAATTTGAGTTGACATGTTTTTTTTTTGCTAGTTTTTCTATTTTGAAAAAATAACTTTAACATGAGAAACTATTGGTATTTTTTGGTGAAAAAAGAAAACCATGTCACTAATAATCTGAAATGAGATCGATAAAAATAGTATGCAACACAAAATCATTGAACTTCCCAACAAAGAAACAATTAAACTCAATTAGTTTTAGTTTGGTGCAATGTTAAAAATGAATTTTTGAAAATGTTTGTGGTTTTATTTAACATTAACATTAAGTTAAGTGCTGCCAAATTTTTTTTAAATGGATAGAGGTTCTTATATAAATACTGAAAAGATGTCAGATCAGTAAAAAAACAAGTATGAATTGATTGGTTTTGGTATTTATTATACATACATTCCATTGCATCAGGAAAATGTGTTTTTTTTTTATACATGTATTATATGTATATTATACGCATATTATTTTACATTACAGGTGATCCACATATAATATACATATAATACACATGTCCATAAATTACACACGAATTATACATATATTATATGCAGATCACCTGTAATGTAAAATAATACACGTATAATATACATATAATATGTGTATCAAAAAACACGTTTTCCTGATGTGTGTCAAACAAAAACAAATTTGTGTAACAGACTCTTTTCAAGAATGGGTATTAATAAAATGGTCTTTTTAATATTTTTAAAGGTTAGCTTCATTAATTTTTATTTCTTCTATTTTTATATATATTTAGAGGTGTAATGATTAAATTAAAAAGTATTTATTTATTAATGCATTAGCAGGATCTGATGGAAATTAATATGTAATATATATAGGTTAAAAGAAAGAAAATTTTATTAATGATTATTAATGGTTTTTTTATACATTTATATATTAATGTAAATAAATAACATATCAATTGACCAGAAGATGACAATTATTTCAAGATTACAAGCACTGATGTTACTGCTATTATTAAAGGGTATGTGTGATTATATTAATATATTTATTTCTTTTTCCAAAGGTTGCAAAGGTTGAACGATCTGACGATCTGACAGTGTACAATCCGTTATGCGATCATTTTTTTTTTATTATTAATTATTTATTTTTAGAAAATAGAAATTATTTGTATTTGGTATATTATTTATTCGATTTAATGAATTTAATTATCATCATTTGGAATAAGTTAAATATTAACAAAATATATTTATATTGGGCAAGTTATAATGATGATAATAATAATAATTTTATTTTTTTTATTACCAACTTGTATCCATGGCATTACGATTATTGTCACTACTACACCACTACTACCACCATTACTATCACTACCACTACCATCATTACCAACACTACCACCATCATTACCAACATTACCACCACAACTTTATTCCGAAATATTCAAACCTTGCTTGATGTACTATGCCAAAGGTCTATTAATAAATAAATTTTTTTATTGTTAATTATTATTTCTCCAATTCTTTGTATTCATAATTATCAAACAATAAATTAACTATTATTATTATTATTATTATTATTTTGAAATTTTGAACCTTATAAATCAGTCCCTTATAATTAAAAGCAAAATTTTTCTAACCCAACTTTCCAAGTAGTTATAAGCGACTTTGTAAGTAACATTTTGGCACAACTATTGCTGCTGAATTTGCTTTAGACTGCATACTAGTTGAGCGATAATCTTAAAATAAGTGTGAAGAAAAGAAACGCTTTCGACCTGGCGTATAATAACCAATAATTAAGCTAGTCCTTTCTTTTAACTGTTGTTAAAAGCCCCAGTATGGCTCTAAAAAATTTATTATGGTTGAAAATCGCTGCTATATGAAAAACGGAGAATTTTTTTTTTGAAATGGACGATAATAATTTTATTCGTGTAACGTTTATATTGAATGACACTATTAATAAAAATGAGTTCTATTAAAAACCATTTTTTGTAGATAGTAATAGGGATTATCACTTATTGTTTTTGTGAAGCAGCAAAATCTTTTTTTGTATTAACACAATTTGATATGTTGGAGCACTTAATTTAGTGATGAACTTAAATTTTGTTTCTGTTTCTTATCAGAGATCAGTGCAAGAACTTAATTTATAAATTTTAAAAATGGTAATTGGAATCTATTATTGTAAAACCATGATCAATATTTGTAAATCATATAAAATAAATTTAAATAAACATTTAAGAATGCTTTTTGTAAATAGTTATTAATAAAAGGATGGTATATTAAAATCACAAGAAATGATTTCTCCATTCTTTTAAATTAGTATTATTTTTATTCTGCTAATGATGTTGAGATTGATTAAAATAAAGTTATTCTCTTTTCTTTTTCTTGCTTGTATTAATATCGCTGACCACCAATCCTATTTGATTTTATATAGAGTATATCAAAAGAAAATAATAATAATTAAAATAATTAATAAAAAAAACTTCAATAATTTATTTCTAAATAGAAAATATGCGAATAAAATTTTTACCAGGTGGAAGAGATTTTTGTAATTTTTCTGCTTTCTCTACATCTTCAATTACAAAAGTGTACAAATATCTTGAACATCTAAGCTTAAATTTTACCTTTGATACACCATTTTTCTTAATACGAACAGCTTTGATATATATGTGTGTGTATATATAGCAGTATATCAAAAGAAAATAATAATAATTAAAATAATTAATAAAAAAAACTTCAATAATTTATTTCTAAATAGAAAATATGCGAATAAAATTTTTACCAGGTGGAAGAGATTTTTGTAATTTTTCTGCTTTCTCTACATCTTCAATTACAAAAGTGTACAAATATCTTGAACATCTAAGCTTAAATTTTACCTTTGATACACCATTTTTCTTAATACGAACAGCTTTGATATATATGTGTGTGTATATATAGCATGTGTTAATTAATAGAAATAAAAAAAAAAAACTATCGATAAATATATAATTACATTTTGCATCTTTTCTACGTGCAATCTCAAGAAAATATTTAATATCAGCAATTTGTTTTGGCTAGAAAAAACAAATTGGAAATATTATTTTCGTTAATAATTATATAATATTAAATCATTACTCCATTACTATTATTTACCATCTTTGAGACTTATTATTATCAAAAAAAAAATTTAAGATTTTAATTTTTTAAATTGAATCGATTACACAAGAAATGGTAAATTTACTTGATCGACAAACACGTGCACATTAATATTTTTTCTTGATTATTTTGACAAGATGACAAAACGCGGCTCTCCTAAAGATATGTTAATTACCAACCAGAGGTACTTTTTTTTAATTTACATTGACTTTTTTGGTTGTTATAAATATTATAATTGGAATCAAAACGTGGAACAGATCATTGCTGGGTAATAAGATTCTCATCAAGATGATGAATGAACAATTGGTATTTTGCTTTGTATAATCGTATTATTATTAATATAAATATATAATTACAAGATGTCAAAGCAGCACAACTGAAACAATTCGAGTATGATTATCGGAAATTGACAGACGTTGAAGCACACATGCTACTTGAACACTTACAGTCATTCTTATGCTCCTTGTGCACACAAGGCTAATCTGACCAGCTTCGCCCTATGGATACAATGGTGCAACTGAATTCCAGGGGGGAAGCACATAGCCCTGGAGTTGACTGCAAGGACACTTTTCACTAATCTTCCCTCACAGCACCCAGACCAGAGAAGGCTTGCTGGCATGCTAGCCGAAAAGTTGCCTGCAACGATCCTACCTCTAGGGTAAGGCTGGCTCTGTGATTGAGAAACTTTGAAAAGTTGTGATATTAGGTGCACATAAACATCCAGATCCATCAAAGAAATGAGAATCTGCAACTCGTTTCAAACACAGGAGGTTGCAATTCAGAGTGGGATTGGTGGCCCTGAAATTGCATTTGGGCTCTGATGTTAGGAAAGCTGTAAAATAAAATGATTTGGATTTTGTTTGGTATGTTATAAATTAATCATTTCCATATTTTTATTTTTATTTACCAACTGAATTTGATATTTTTTAAATGGGGCTTTTGCCTATATAACCCACCTAGGTTAGAGGAATGTAGCTCAATGAGAACATGTATCTTACAAGTATAAAGGTGGCAGTTCAATCCTGCCCACTCCTGTTGTGATAGTCACCATGATCGCTGGCATCAAGGAGAAAACTGTAAAATAAAATAGTCAGATTTTGTTTGGTATGTTATAAATTAATCATTTTCATAAATTTTCTGTTTCTCTTTAATTTTTATTTGACCAACTGAACTTGTTATTTAAATAAATGGGGCAGGGTTGTTGGTGAGTAGGCATGCACCAACAAGACAGCAACCCAGGACTCAACTCTGAATTCAGGGAAAATCCAAAACAACAACTTCCCAGGTTACAACCTCCTGGGTTGGAGAATTTTGAACCAGTTGCAGGCACAAACTTTTTCTACAGGTCAGGATAATGCAAAGCAATCATAATGCAAGCACCAGCTATCAGTGATCAATGTCCATATGGTAACCAGCAAGCCTGGTCTGAGAGGAAGATAAAGTTCTCATACAAATGATAATGTTTATTTTACAACATAGGAAGCAATAATAAATAAATCAAATTTATACACAATAAGTATTTATTATAGTTTGAAAAAGCAAGTTTTACATGTCAATATAAATGGGGAATGAAAAGAAATAAAGTTATGTTTGATAAAAGGGTTAAATAATAATAATACACACCCCTAATATTAATTTTCTTTCAATTTTATTTATTTTAAAAATTATTTATTTAATAATTAATTTTAATAACAAATGATTTCAATCATCAATTTTTTCTTGAAATTTATTTTTCTTTTTTGAGAAATCTAATTCTTCCCATTCCCAAAGTGTAACTCTCATACCAATACTAGGAGGACAATTATTGGCTAAATACCATAGCATCTTTATTTGCATCCTTTATTTCTAACAATCTTTTATGGGTTTTATGTTCAAAGTTTTCTTGATTTTTTATGGATAAAAGAACCACGCAGTACAGTCCAATGAGTTGTTTGAGTGGGTAGATAGACAGGACCTGAGCATGGCATTTTTAATGCATGAGCTGCACGTCTTGCAAAATCTATAAAAAAATCCATTGGACCTACTACATAGGTGTGTAAGTGCAATTGACAAACAGCTATATTTTCTGTAGGTGGAAGTTTTTCAGGTTCTAATATTTTTTTTTTTTTTTGATAAAGTGTAAGAGAAAAAAATCCAATAATAATAATAATAATAATTTATTATCCATTAACATATTTACCATAAAGCATTGGATCTGGTTGTTTTCATTATTTTCATTGTTATTGTTATTTTCACTGATTATTTTGCAAATTTATTGATGTTGTCCAAAGATTATTTCTAATGAATTGTAAATCGATATATTATTTATTAATATCTTCCATAAATTATAATCCTTGTATATAAACGAATGAATGAATGAAGATATGTAAATCAATAAATACACATTTCTATATGGAAATGACAATTTAGTAATTATTGGAAGTATTATTTTTTATAAAAAAAATTTTTTTGATCTACAAATAATTTTTTTTAAACCAATTTGTCAAGTGTTAAAGAAAACCAAACATACATCGGAAAAAGAGCAAATGAGTAAATATTGTCAGAAGAGGGAAATTTAAAAATAATGTGGTTGCGATCATTGTCGTCCTTCTAGTTAAATAAATATAACAAAAAACGTCCAATACTTTAAAATCTTAAATCTTTTAGAAAGTAATTTTTCATAAATCTACCACTTCAGATCATCATAAAAGTGTAATGGAGACAGTGATGGTAGTGATATTGAAAGAATAACAACAGTAGAATGACTCTATATGAAGAATAGAATATAATGATAACACTAGAATCAACAACACAGCTGTGTTTTAAAATGGAAGGATATGATTTTATTTTTAATTTATATTTATATATTTTCTAAGGCAAATCTGTACCTTACATTAAGACATACTGGTTTAATTAAACAATAGACCAGCACAAATTTTGCCTATTACACAAAGTCATCATATGGAAAAAATGTCTTCAGTTTGACCAAAACAAATAAATCAGAATGGATGAAACAAAATTAGTGTATATCTCATTAAAACTAGAGAAATTAGCTCAACTCAAGTGAATACTGACTTTATCATCTTGAAATAATTATATTGTCAATGTGGGGGATCTATGTTATTTCTATTGAGTGATAAACATATGTTCCATATTAAATTTTCTTGGAGAAAAGAGAAGCCAAACACAAGTGTTGTCAGAGCAATTTTTCCAAACCAATTAGTTCAAGCCCTAGTTGGAAAAGTAAAACAGGAAAAATTAGAATTGAAAGACAAATCAGAGAGGATCTTGAAGCTATTTTATCTAATACTAATATCATCACTTTTAATGTATTGGTAAGATGATGTTTCATGTAAGGTAATTTTGATATTATGATGTGTTAAACACTTTTTTATATGTAATAATTGATAAACATTCAAAAATACAATTTTTCATATATCTAAGACCTATTATCAAAGGAACAAGTAATTAATTTCAAACCTGAAAGAATATATTTCATACATAGCCATAGTATAGTTACTTCTATTACTTCTACATACTATCAAAATGTTTGCCAACATGAATGAAATTGTAAAAAAAATATGAATTAACTCATCAGATGGATCCATCTCAACTGAATGCCTATGCTAATGAATTCTGCAATAAAATTCATGACTGGCATGTTCGTAAAAATGCAAGAGCCCATCTTTGAGATCTCGGGTTCAACACAGAACAAATATTAGCACTCTTGCCAGATCAAAGGAAACATAACAAGCCAGCTACTGTGAGGAATAAAGTTCAAGAAATTATGGAATCCCCTGATCCTGTTATGGATTCATTTATTCCAAATTTTTTGGGTAATAGTGCAACATTAGAGAATATTGTTACAATTGATTCATGACTTAAACACCTTTGGCATGAACTACATAAAAGGTTATAATGATTTTACCAAATTTATAACCTATTTATTAATTTTAAATCTTGATTTTTAGAATTTGACTGGATTGTTATCACAGTTTGATGTCACTACAATTGAACTTTCTACACAAATGTATCCAACAATAGCTTATGCAAGAGTAGTACTTTTGGGTTTACTTGTTAATCTGAATTTATCTAAATAATGAAGCATCCAATTAAAAGTATTTACTTGTACAAAACATCGCCAACTATTATATTTTAGAGAGATATTATTTCCAACTTTGAGTATGGAATCTATAATATATCTAGTTTATTGGTACAGAGAGGTCTTTGAAGGTAACAAATACCAGTGATGAAAAAATCACAATCAACATTTGTTATATTGTGACGGGTCTTTTGGAATTTTTATTTTTATTATTGTTTCCTTAGAAATTCGCCATGCAATAACATTGTGTATATTAGTATTACAGCAGAGTATCTTCTGAATATAATTCTGTTTTTTTTTTGTTTTTATTTATTTATTTTTTTAAAGTGGTAAATTTTCCCTTATAGTATTCCGTGTAACATCCATTAAAAAAACCGTACATATTAATTTATCATAATGATATTAATTAGATTTGTTGATCTACTTGTATGACACCCCCCAATAGTCTATTATACATCTTATTTAAGAAATGTGTTATTTCCAAAATTTTTAATTTGGGAATTTGGCAAACCAATTAAAGATATATAAATATAGTCATAATTTGCAATGACTTGAAAAACATCCTTATTGCATTATCACATAACACTCTATTTATTTTTATTCTCTTAACATTTTTTTAAATGGACAACACTATCTGCGAAATTGTTCCTAAAATCGTGATAATAAATTTTACTGGTGTTGTGAGAAATGTAGTGTCCTAAAATGCAATGATCGAGCAACTACTATATTGGATAGGGAGCAACATTATCTTCAAGGTACTTCTGACCATAACCATGCTCCAGAAGCTAGTCGATTTGGGGTTGTAAAGACCATTAATACAATAAAAGGAAATGCTAGAGAGGCCGATGACCTACCCTCACAAATTATCCAAAGTACAATTTCTAATACTGCTAATTCTCAAGAAGTATATACATCCCTTCCATCAAATGAAGCACTTTGTAAATCAATCAGATGAATTTGTAATGCTGATTTCCAGAGTCTATAGAGGATATTACTATTCCTGAAAACATGAAGGTGACTTTAGATGGAGTAAACTTTTTAGTTAAGGATTCTACAATAGGTGAAAATAGAATTCTGCTTTTTACAACTGTTACATACATACCTTTTAATAATAATAGTAACATCCTTGAAATAATTTTCATTTTCTGGTCAATTAATATATGCATAAATAAAACCGTTAATAATCATTAATAAAACTTTCTTTTCTTTTAACTTATATATATTAAATATTAATAACATACATCTCTTCCAGATTCTGCTAATGTTATTAATAAATAAATACTTTTAATTTAACCATTACACTTCTGAATATATATAAAAAATTATAGAAAATGGGTGAAAAAAAAATTAGTAATAGTATGTAGCTAATCTTTAAAAATATTAAAAAAACCAAATTAACTGACATTATTTCCATTTTATTAATAATAGCCATTCTTGAAAAGAGTCTGTTATGCAAATTTATTTTTGTTTGAAATTCTATTTCATCCAGCAATATATATATTAATATTATTAGGTAAAATTTTTATTATTATTAAGAAAATAATCTTTAAAAATAACTACCAATTAATAATCAGGATCTATTCCGCGGATTTGTTTAATATTAAAAAGCAAATTTAAAGTTAATATAAAAAAATTAAGCCCAAAGATTGAAATTGTGCATGTTATCCAATTTCTTAATTTATTATTATTATTATAGAATTTATAGAACTGGTAGTCCCAACTTCCATGTTAAGAATAATGCTTAGTGGTATTTGTTTACCCTGGCAAAAAATAATGGTTTTTTCATATACCTGTTTATTTTTTATAATCCAAGTAATAGTTTGATTAATCAAGCAAGTTTATGTGATCACCCCCTGCATATCCGTCAGTCCCCCGTAATAAATATCCCACAATCACGCGAAATTCAACTGAAGACTAGCGTTCTATAAAAAGAAAAAAAAATAATTTAATTCATTATTAAAATTCTGTCAATTATTAAAAAAAGCAAAAAGCAAGCATGCATAGAACAAAAAACCAGCAGACTCCGGATCCAATTGCACCACATTCTGAACGTTTAGTATTATACATGAATACACATCCAAACACGCTGTTAGGATATGCAAAATATTATGGTGGATATAGCAATGCAATTAGTGCTCGTATGACAGATATTAACTCTATTGGGTTTGTTATGTTGGTGAAGACTGACAACGATAAAGAATCAGAAGTTAATATTAGATATAAACATCAATTGGGGTCTTGTGACCAAGTTAGACCAATGTTAACTCAAATGGCAAATGAATGCGAAGAAGCTTTAGGACTGGTATGTTGAATTGATTGAATAGAATTAAAATGATCATGAAATTCTAAAATTTATAAATTTTGAATATTTTCTCTTTATATAGTCAAATACTAGACCACCTTTGCCAAATCATACACCATTCAATCCACCAAGCCCTTTGAGATGTTTCTCAGTATTATCATTGATTGGTTTAAATATTCTATTGGCATACTATCCAGGACCTTTGCCCAATTTTCTAGAATCTATTAGATCGTTTTTTGGTTATGATTTTATAAAACTGTTTGTTTACTTTACAATAGTTATTCATGCTATAGAAGCTCTCGTGGTTGCAATTATTTTATACATAAGAGGGGAACCAGATTTATCCACCAGTATTAAATGGGTATTGATGACAGCAATATTAGGGCATTTTTGGCAAATCTTTATACCAACAAAACGAAAAAACAATTGAAACCTTATATTTATTCATATAAATTTTAACTCTACAAATTATTTTGATAATATATTTTTATTAATAATATTTAGAAAAATAATAAATTTTAGAAAAATAATATAAACGATACATTATCTAATTTGTAATCAATCAATATTTTTACTTCATTGTTATCAGTTACATCATTTTTGAATCTTTATTTTATTATCTTATTACATAATTGTATGTTGTAATTATTATTTGGCTATTGCTAGATTATTATTGCTAATGTTGCTATGTTGCTATAATAATTAATAATTAGACAGCCAACAGTTCGCCATAGTTCTGTAAGAATACTACTGTAGCCACAAAAACAGTCACAGAAATAATAATTTCAAAGTTTCCTCGTCGTTTA